CAAAAGATAATTTCCACATATCCAGAAATTCATTATGACCTTCATACTTTCACTGTCTGCTGGGATTACTTCTGAAGTTCTGAGACTCTACTCAGTTTCAAGCAGCTTCCAATTATATTATATAACATTACATTATGTTGAAATAATGTAGAGTTTCTTCCCTGAATTAAAATGGTATGAGATAGGCAGCGTTAATTCTTGTACTAGTGAGAAGTATAGGATCCAACAGCTTGGGAATCATTAAAAGGAAGATTGAGAATACATTATATCAAACATGTGCTAAGAATCCTCATGATGAGATGCAGTCCCTTAATCCTATTGATGGCAGGTCAAAAGATGTTAGACCTTTTCACCTTGACATCACATATGAAAAAGTTACTGAGGATGGATATTAAAAAGCTGTAGAATGAACTTATTGAAAGCTCTCCTATTCTCTGCTGCCACTTTAGCTACTAAGGTGGCAGCAATTCAGACTTTTGTAGGAGAAGAAGTATGACAGAAATGGAAGGACCTGTAATCTTTTTAGATAGCCTACTAACTAGATTCCAGTTAAAAATTTGATCTGTCAATGACTTAATGGCATTTATTTATGTGCCAATTGGGTTGACTCCAGTACCAGTCATTTTAGAAAGTAGAATTAATTTTTTTCAAAGTTAACACATCCCCTTATTCTCCAAATTGCACACTGAATCCTTTGACATACTTGGAATTGCTTGGTTTACACAGGAGGAGAATCTGAGCTAATAATTGACAGAAAACTCAAAATTATTTTTCTTAAGAAATCCATCCAAAGCAAAAAGCTTTAGGAATTTATAACATTGAAATATTTTCCGATGTTTGCATATATATAAAGTGATAGTGACAGACACAAAAAAAAAGTCATGAACATTTCTCCACTTCTGTGGTGGTTTTTCCCCTCACAAAATTACAGAAATATCAAAAATAATCTGTACCTTTGCTATACTAGCACTAAACAGAACAGCAGATAACTTTAAAATTAAAATGAAAAACATGCTAGCACTGTGATACAGTAGGAGCACTAAGGCTTAGTTATTTAAAATAAAATATTATCTTACTACCAAAAGGATAATTTGATAGAAACTGACTACATCCAGCTTTGTCTGAACAGTTGCTAATTCAGTACTGTTTAAATTCTTAAGTATAAATCTTTGTTTATAAGCCTTTAACATAATTCAGGAGCCACCATAAGCCAAACCTACATTCACTATGAAATTCATTGCATCCTTCTCACTCCACAGAAATTTTGTCACAGCTGAATTTCAAAGGATCTTCACCCCCTTGTCTTTGCAGCCCTGATGGGAATGGCAGCACTTGCTTTATCCACTATTAACTCTAGTTAAGCCTGTTGATAAGTAGTAGTATATCTAGTAGTAGTATAGTTGCTCACAAAGTAAAGCAACACATTTGTCTACATTTTCCCTACTTTTTTCCGTGATAATAAAATGAAATTATGTAGGTTGCTTTTACCAGCTGCTATGACTAAAAGTGCCCAAGAAGGCAAAAGAAGGAGGGGACACCATGAGACAGACTTTGGGGACCTTGAATGAGAGAGCTGGTATAAAATACACACTTGCATTGTTCCCCCCAGTTTTTCACTCTTTGTGATAAAAGAAATACAGATTCACAGTTGTAATGATTATATAAATCAAAGATTCTTACTCACTGACATGGAAATTGTGGGAACAAGGAAAATTTAATATGTATAGGCATAAATTTGCAAGACACTGACAGACCTGTAGGTAACCACTAAATATTTGTTTCTACAATCAGCATTTTTTCCTATAATGAAAAATAAACTTTTCCATCCCCCTTCCCTCCACCCGCACCTCAAGAAAACACAGCATACTTCTCCTTGTTTAACAAGAAATAAGGTTCAGAATAGGAAAAAGTATCACTGCAGAAGAACCACCAAGTAAATTGATTTGGAGAGGTTAATGTTTCTAATAAAATTTCTGTCCATCAAGTCTGCATTTTCTTAGAAATAAATATACATACTAACCCATAAGTCATTGAAGGCTTACAGGGGTCTAAGTAGACAGATGTGGAAAATGCAAAATATTTTCACAAACTGACACGGAAACCCACCCTACATATACACCCCGTCAGTTTCCAAATCAATGCCAATCCACAAATGCTTAATTCTATTGGCCTAAATCACTAGTTACAGGATTTGTAAATGAAGAGTTTTCAAACATTAGAGTAAATTAATGGATGTTTCTGCCTTTGAAGCCTCCTAAAAAATGTCGAAAGTATTAAGTTCTTTTTGGCCTGCATCCTTCCAATTGGAATGTTTATAGCAGGAAACTGAACCACAACAACTACAGTGACAACTCCAGTCTCCTCAATAACATGATGTGGCTGTTCAGGGAATCAGTGCCTTAATCAATGGAATAAAATATCCCATCTATTCAAATAAAGTGTTTTGCCAGTCTGGAGTGAAGTGCCATGAATACAGGAAAGAAAAATAATTGGGTTGGAGAGTAGAATTTTCAAATGTGCATTTCTTTAATTTAAGGGGACTGGGGCTAGAGGAGGGGGAGTTCTTTCCATTTAATGACTTGAGCATAGTGTGGTTTAAATAGCACATTTGATTTGGGAATCTATTAGCTGATAATGATTCCTTAGAGAGAAAAAAATTGGATTCAGTTATTACTGGTTTGATTAGCAATATCTGTAATTCCGTGAAGTTGTAAAATAGCTCAGTATTAAAACTGAGCTATTTTCCATCACTTGCAGAAGCATAAACACAGACAGACAAGTTCCTGTGTTAAACATACTCCTGAATTCTGCAGTACTTTTACTGCCACTAGGATTGGAAAAAAGATCTTTTTTCATGTACATAGAGCCTCAGTTTTGAAAAGTATTTGTGCTATGCTCCATAGATACTAAAAGATGGATAACAATCTAGCAAAGTTGCTATTTACACAGAGATGAAACTGCTATTTAAGAAAGAGGTGCAACTAAATTTCCAATGAGGAAATAAAGCCAATGTTTGATTAATGACAACACTGATCCATATCAGTAAAGAAACGTCATTAAAAGAAAATGCACTGTACTGATCTTAAGGATAAAAAAGGGAAAGGTAAACACAATTAAAAGAAAAAATTAAATTGCAAATGTCAATCTGCCTTTCCCTTAGAACAGAATAAGTAGTCTTGTAAACTAAAAGGAGAAATACTCATCTAAAAACAAAGGAAGATCTTCCCAGCAAATCTGATGTTAAGTTGTGTTTTATTAAAGGGGTTCTAGTGGCTTTTTTTAAACTTAGATCAGGAAATAGATATAACTATAATCATACAACAGAATGCAACCTAAACAATGAGCAGTGTTTTAGAATTGAAGCACCACTCCTTTCATCTGATAAATATTTAAAGACACAACTGAAGGGACCTGACAGCCTACCAAAACACACATCCAAACACACTGCCACAGAAAACCTGAGAACTGCAAAAGGCATGTACCAAAATGCATGAAACACTGAAACAAAAGCTGGGACCAGCATAAAACAACATCTATTCTCATTCAGAAGCAGCAAACCGTGTTATCTACTGGTCTGCAGGCCTAAAACCAAAGAAATTGCCAATGCTCCTGTCTGGCCACAGTCTTTGCATCAGATCTGCAGGCCCTTAGCACTAGAGCTCATCAGTCACATTTTCTCTAAGCTAGTCTTTGGCTTCTGTTTAGCTCTCTTGCAATAGCAATTTTTAACAACCAGTAACATAACCTGATCTGTTTTACATTTAACTTATCTGTGTGATTGCATGGGCTATGGTTTACCAGTATAACAATTCTGATATATTTCTGTACCTATCATATCTATTCTGCCAGAATGAACTGGTATTTTTAAAAATGTAGGGTAGAGGACCGCAACCATGGTATGACAGCAGAGGTATTAAATGTACAGGCACAGGCTGACATCAGAGGAAGCAGGACTATAAGTAACTCACTATGTCAATTGCTAGTTGTTAAAAGAAAGTAACTCCAGGGCCTGGCTAAAGCTGATTTTAGAGAGCAAAGAAAAAACAAAACACACAAACAAAAAAAAAACCCAAGGAAGGAAATGAAGAGATCAAAGAACAAGAATTCTATACATGTAAAACACAAATATGCAAAGAAGTTACAGGCCAGTAAACCAAGAACAGTGTCAGGGCTCTGAGAGTACCAATAAGTCATAATTGCATTACCTAGTGGAGAACCCATTCACTCTGCCAGTGAGCCTTGGGGTCCCATTTCAGCCTCCAAGTAATACCTGAGCCCCATCATAGGAATATCTATGCCTGGACCTACCCTATATTCTTCCCCACTTACAGATTATGCTTCCTGGCTTGATATTAGACCCAGTTCACTCCTTCCTACACAATGACCTCCAGACAACTGGCAGACCTGGCAGTGCTACCAGCACTTTTTGTGGACAGGGAATGGTGCCTCAGTACCATTAAACCAGGTAGGTCATGGAATTTATGCACCTGTTCTTCCAACCACTAAGCCTGAGGCAGCTTTGTTACATCTGAACAGAGAAATATTACAGACACTCATTGCATTACAGATACATGCAAAAGCCAAAATCCCTGTGGTGATAGAAGAGAGCCTGAATGACAGCAGTCATTGCTGAGGTGGGAACAAGTTGCATCCAGTCACATCAAAGCTGTTTATTTTTGCTCCAACCATGACCTTGCAAGTACCCAAAGCAGAGAGGTGCCCAACCACCTTGTGGTACCCAAACCCTTTTATGTGAAGTCAATGATGCAGCTGTACTCTATGAGCCCATTGACATCAGGCATGTGGCCCATGCTGCTACACATTACTGGAAGTGCAATTAGTCTCGCATACAATGAAAGAGAAATTAATTCAGTTCATAAAAACAGTCTGTTCAAACAAGAGTGAGCAATAGCATTCCACATAAAACACATTTTCGCATTAAAAATATAATTCATCACTTTTTGAAATATCCAAACATTAATGTTGAGAACGTCCCTTACCTCCTCGCTTGTTTAACTTGGCGTACCCTGGCACATAGCTGCTTGTCATGGATGATGAACTGCTGAAGGAGGAATGTGGTAATGCTGAGACCAGAGGTTCATCACACTTTTCTGAAACACAAGAAAAGAAATTCACTTTATGCTCTTAATTATTCATGTGTATTAAGTGACAGTGTGCCCTTTATTTTCCCTCTGGGTGATAGCACATCCTTTTTATTTTTGTACATGTGGAATGCATGTAGCTACATCACAGCTTTTCAACAAAAAAAATCCCCTACAACCACAAGCCAACAAAACAAACAAAAACTCACCTCAAAACCACAAGAAAACCCACAACAAACCACAAACACATACACTGACATGAGAAAATAAAGATTTCAACTATTGAGAAAATGAGATAATGGTAATATCTAACCATGAGCCATCACCCTCCTTGGAGATACAGCAGTTGAACAAAAAAGCCTACCCTGAAATATCTGGGATGTTTTGGTGACAAAAATCTAGTGCTAAAGTAAAGTATTATCATGACAGCTTTCTAAGAAGTAAATAAGATACACATTTTCAGTTCTGTAATAGAAGTGCTGATAAATCTGATATTAAAAAAAAAGAAAATAAATTAGGGAACATTAACAAATGCTTATGAATTATCAGATACAACAGATTCACTGAAAAAAACCTATACTAGCTAATCTCTATAATTCATTTGAGTACTTCACTTCCATTTTACCCTGCTATAAAGAAGATTAACTTGGTATTAGCAACTAAAACGGAAAAAAATCAGAATCAGAATCTTAGCCTTCCAAATGAAGAAAAAGTTGTAAATCAAATCTTCTTTTGTATTATATAAATTAGAATGAAGAGAAATGGCTTAGGATTTTTCAAATACCTAATTAACGTACTGCCTTTTGTGAGATTTTTTGTGGATGTTTCAACAGACGGGAGAAATGTGTAACTTAAATTACTCATTTATATCACAGGTAAAACTAAAAAAAAGCCTAAGCCTACACCAGTAAGCCTAACTAATCTTTTTAAACACATGCACTGCAGCACAGTCTCTGATGTAAGTGGAAATACCTTCAATTTATGTATCTATAAAGCATTAGGTCACCATGGGTGGTCTACAATAGGTCTAAATATGCATAAGCAGCATATTTAGTGCTCAGCCACAACACCTAGTTTTGGTACAATTAAAAACCAGTTGTTTGATCAGACTGGATTACACATGGAGATGAAATTAATCCTACCTTCTAAAGAACTTTAGGAGGGAAAAAAGAGGATTCTGACTGCATCAAGTAATATATAATGCAATTCTCCTAAAATGTATAGTCTCATGTAGTGAAAAATAAAATTACTTTCACAGGAATAGAAACTGAAGTGCAGAAATACAAAAGAACATTCATTCAGGAATCAGTATTTTGACATTTAAAAGGAAAATAAGTGTCCTTCACAAATGTCCAAGTTAACAAACATTAAGGGAAAAAAATCCACACAAGCACAAGCAAGAGTAAAGGGCACCTGCTTTGAACTGAATTAAAGGATAATTCCAATGACTTTCAAGTTCACTACCGCAGTATTTAAGGATGGAATTTTGACAAGGGAAGATTAATGGTTTGAAACATTGTTGTTTATACCACAAAGCAGAATGATCGATTTCCTCCTCCCTCTGCTCTGGCTGCAGCACAGCAGCCCATTTGGTCAGAAACCTGCAGCCAGGTGCTCCTCACAGCCCACCCCTGCAGCAGCACACCAGGGCTGCACACACCTCTGCACACACCTGTGCTTTCACATTCTGGGTGCCAGAATTGCTTTTATTTCAGCCAAAGTGCTGAAGGTTGCTTTTATCTCAGACAAAGTGGTACAAGGGTAGAGCTAAGGATAGGAGTGAGCAGCAGACTGCCACAATTGCCAACTGTTGTCCTAAGTGCCATAATGATATTAATGCAGAGCTACTTGACAAAGTTTTTGCCAAGCATTTTTTTATCTATTGGTTTAGTTTCTGAAGATCATGATAGCTTTTCAGCTTGCAAACTACTTAAGTGCCGCGACTTCTTTTTCTGTGCTACCTAGCTAGAGACTTGAAGGCATTTGCCATTAATCCTGTTGTCTAGGTAGATGCTGAATGAAACATTTAAAAGTAGAAAAACACACAATCAGAAGGTTTTAAAAACACATAGCATTCTTTTTATATCATTTTCATTTGCTTATATTACATGATATTTACCCTTGAGGGGAAAAAAATCATGTTCTCATCAGTAATGAAAACTAAGATTGAACATGCACCTTTGTTCTGTTTCCTGAGGGTTTTTAAATATATTTTGGCAAGTAAATTGTTAGGTTGTTAGGGTGACAATTTTCTGTCACCCATAGCTTCAGACTGGGGTGGGAAGAAAAACCTGCATTTTCCTGGAAAATATTAGAACGGTAAAAACTTAGTTACAAAAAAATGAGTTCAACTTATGCAATTTAATTTATTACTAATATAATGGGAGGCTAATGCTTCTATAGTCTAAAAAATTGTGAAATAAAAGATCTATCTTAAAACATAAGCAAATATTAAAAAAGTTATTTTAAAAATGTAGGCAAACTCTTAATTTCTCAACAGAAGTAAACATCGATTTTTGACATTGGGCTCAGAAGAAATGTGACAGATGAAAAAAGCCTCTTCCTACAATAGAAGCTCATCAGAACTTCAGATCTTTTACTGGTTCCAGTAGCTATTGAGAAAATCCCCTCCTTTTAATTTGACAGCTGTTATATTTGTGCTACCACTGAAAATGCACAAAAGAAAATATGGGAAATTTATTTGGAATGAATACTAATTTCTAAATCATTGAAGGTCTGCCTTATCTCTGTTTCACTAACTCATACTCTTGGATTCAAAAGAATAAGACAGAGAAGCTTGACTTAGTAAAAAAATAGAGGGAGCATCCCTCTATTTGCCACTGTGGTCACAATTATTACAGACAGTCATGAATATGCTTCATGTGATATATGTGTATGCTTATCAAGTATTTAATCTGAGTCTTCTGATTTCTTAATTTGATTGTAATCATCAATACTGTGGTGAGGGGTAGGAAACAACCCTGAGTTGATACCATTTGCCTTCATTGTTGTTTAGAACTGTAATCCTCTCCAATGTCTATTTTGACATACCAAGTAATAAGAAAAAAACCCTCACTTTCTCATTGTTCTAAAAAACCAAACCTCCCAATCTGCCTGCTCATTTATGTTTTAAAATATGGGAAATTCACCACAAATGTGTATGAATTACAGGGAAGGACTATATTTCAGATTAATAGACTTAAAAAAGTTATTACATCTCATCATTTACTCCCAACTTTAGGTCCAACAGAATAAAAGTTAAAAGACTGCTTACATAAACTAATATTTCTAGTCCTGTATGAAAGTTTCACTAAATATACTGCACTATTTAAATTTCCACCAGAATAAGAAATACTCTTTTACCACAGATTTAAGAGTGAATAAAACCCCAAGCCTTGGGAATCTTTTGTTCTTCCAGCAGTTTTAGTTACTTCCAGCAGAATTCAATTTTTTACATAGCAGAATCATATATACCTTCCTGTTACTGAGATATAATAGCCTTCCCCATATAAGTCAATGCACTGTGCCCTGTTAATCAATTACAGAGCACACTCTCCTGCCAGCATCGCAGCAGCAAAGGAATAAACTCTCCTCCGTACCATTTATCTCAGTGATATATTAACGGCCAAGGCAGCTCAGGTCCATTTAAATGTTAACTTTCTGAAGCAAAAAGACACTTCCACTCCACTCTATTCTGTTTGGATCAAGAGAACTGATAACTTCGTCGTAGCAATGATGACATTTGCTACTCTGACTTCCCTATTTAGAAAGAAAAAACAAGCATATGCCCATCAAAAACAGCTCTTCTTAAGATCATAATAATTAGAGCAATGGAATGAAGGCAGCCTAATATCATTTAACACAAATGAGAAACATCTGCCATCCCCAATCTTCAAATTCCTCAAGACTTAATAAATATCATGCTGTGCACTTGCTCTGTTCTTACAAGTTTTCTCAGGCTCCTGGCTATTGGAAACCAGATAGCAGATGAGATGGATCTCTTGCCCTAACCACTGCAGCCTGTCATATTTCTGGTGGTTACAGTCAACAAAACAAAGAAAATATATCTGCCCATTCTTTCCTGTTTTACAGTCTATTCACAGTTTATTTTTATATCCTACCCAACATGCTGGATAAACTAAAAAAGGCCCTACTTGGCCTGCAATTGCTTTAATTCCCACTTACTAGTTTATGAACTATTTGGGGAATAGGGGCCACAGTATTTGAAGGAACAGCTGTTGACTGCAGCACAAAGCAGACCATACACACACCAACTCTCTTATCAACCCCATAGGTTATTAAAGTTTATCCTCACTATAGCCGTCACTTCAATGATTTTTGATGGGCAGAGTAAAATACCTTGATGCTTCACTTCACAGAAGTCTGTTCAAAAGCTTCCTGATCAATAAACAGGTCACCTGTAAAGTTGCTGACATATCTTATCAAAGTAGTCTGAGTAGATGAAAAAAAACAATCTTCAGTTCATTTGTGTCTTCTTGACATTTGTATCTAGCAGTAGGTTGGAATGCATACAAACTACCTAAAAATGCTGAGAAATGGGAACAATATACATTTATAGTTACAGGTAGTTTTTATGAATAATCTGGAGCTGCATCAGAGGGTCTCCCAGAAGCTCTTGCAAAGAATTTGTCAGCAAAGTAAAAAGACAGCTGTGTGTGTAAAGTGGTTTTAAAAATGAAAAATATTTGGATACTGATAACCATAACTCATCAGAAAGTATGCTTTTGAATAAGAAAGCTTTTTACATCATATGGTCCAGTGTGCATGGAGGAACATGCCTTTAAATAAGCCCCAAATCCACAAATTACCCCCCCGTTTTAAAATCTTCAGTCAAGATTTCCTATCAAATTGTAATCTAGGACAACAATTTTGCTGAAGGATAGATCTAAGACATAAACATGCCACCAACAAAAACTTTACTAAAAAAAGCTCCATATGTTTATGTCAGAAAAGAAGAACTCAAAAGCTGAACAACTTAGATTCAAAAA